GTATCAGTTCGATAGAGACTCTACAGTAAAGCTTTTAATTTTCAAAAGGTGAACAAAACCTCGGAGTGGTAGATCCATAATTCACTTTAACAAAACCGTCTTTTCTTTTAGAAACCTCGCTGCATACATGCATTTACTAAAGTACTCTGCGCGATCATTTTACAATTTACTTATGAATTCCGCGCGGGGACCTGTCATTTTATTGTGTACAAGTTTAATGGGGATGATGATACCTCTAAACAAAGGTGTCTCAGGAGGAGTCCATTATCGCATCGAAATATTATGAAAAGCCATTAGAATGTAGGTTGAACGCTATGAATTGAGTGATTATGAGCGCATGAGTGATATAAATGATATTCACAAATACCTCTAATAGGATGTATGGATGTGAGTGAGATGCATTAAAGAAGACGGAACAATTATTATGAATATTGAAAATGACTTTTAACATTAAAAAGGACTAAACCTACTCAGTTAAGATGTTATTGGAAGTTTTTATGACTTCGATGGGAGGCACAATAGGGGGGGGGGGTATTGGTTGGGGGCACATGTTTCAAGAATCTTTCACAAGCACAAATATAAAAAGGAGAAGGAGGGGAAGAAGAAGGAAAAGAAGGTGAGAAGGAGGTGAGAAGGAGGAGGAGAAGAAGACAGAGAAGAAGGAGACGGAGGAGGAAAAGAAGGTGAGAAGGAGGTGAGAAGGAGGAGGAGAAGAAGACAGAGAAGAAGGAGACGGAGGAGGAAAAGAAGGAGAAAGAGAAGGAGAAGAAGAAAGATATGAAGAAGGAGGAGAGAAAGAGAGGAAGGAAAGGAAGAAGGAGAAGAAGAAGAATGAAGAAGAAGAGGGAAAGAATATAATTTGATAGTTGATAAGTCTTTATTGGGGAAATCACTCCAAACCGTGGTTGAATACTCTTTAAGCGTGGATTTCTACTGCTAGTGAGAATATCCCTAATTAATACTGACAACACAATTACGTGGATTCACCCCTACGGCCGTAGATAGTACTCAGTCATCGTCATGACGCCTCAATGTAGGGGGGGGGGGGGTGTGGTGGGGTCTTTAACCCCCCCCCCCTTAAATCTTTTTCTAGCAAAAGCCCTGGTCGTGGACATTCCTTTTAAGCTAGAAATATACAATAATATAAGGAGCTAAAGGATAAAATGATTTAAAAGAATTTCTATAGATCAGGCACTCAAATTATGAAATATTAATTAAGAAAAGGTCCCTTATGTTTTACCTTAGAGCATCATCGTGAGGGAGGAGATATCCTACGTGGGTGTAAAAGCGCCATTACTGGACAAACGTTAAGCATCCCTGGGGCGCCGCAACAACAAATAGGCTATTCCAATATCGTTTATCAAGACTGGATGACATTAAGACAATGAATCCTCATGAAATATGCATGAACAAAAACCTAATCTGGGAAGCTAACCATTCCAAGAGTACAAAACTGTCAAACATGGTAATTTTGGGGGCATGGGCGGAATTCGAGGGCGGAATTCGAGGGCGGAATTCGAGGGAGGGGATCGACAGGGACGGGATTTTCCCTTTTATAAGGCAAATAAGCCAGTTCAAAGTTGCAGTCTGAGCATGAGCAGATAAAGGTCAATGCAGACCGAATACTCGGAGACAAAATACTGGATACGTGCTCATGAAATTTATGTAATCATTATTCATTTCTGCACAAGCAGTGCACTCCATGATACACAGGTGGAAGTATTTATACAGGAGGAAACAACTAAAGGCTATGTATGTAGCACCTCTATCGTTGTAGGATTTTTTAGTTACTTACCCCGGGACTACATTCTCCTTTAATCCCCTCTTCCTATTTTTTCTTCTATATTTCTTTCTTTTTGTCTTCTTCCCTTTATCCTTATGTTCTTTGTCATTTGTATTATATGTATTATTTATTTATTCATACTTTTTATGCATTTTATATTTTGATGTGATTGTATTTATATATTATAAATTTTGAATAAGTTGTGTAATTTTATGTATGATCACCTGGGAGGAAGCTTCTACTTTTCAGGAAGAAGACAATAAAGTATATATCTATATCTATCTATTTCAAAATGTACAAAGTGGGACCTCTTCATGTTTTGAAGATCTTTGGATATTCGGAGTAATTTAGGACATGTGCTTACCGTGAACTGATCTATTCACCCCCTCTATATACACCTCTCGCCTCTGTTATCTATCTTATTTACACAATTAAGGTAGCCACACCAGTATCAATGCTAATGGCCCTGTCATTATTATTACCCAGCATTACCAGCGCCGCATAATTAGATGTGTCCATATCAACAGCGTAATCCTGTTGATGACTACGATGCATTCGTGTGGCATTGATACATCGGCGTATCCAAGTGCGGGGAGGGGAGGGGAGGGGCATCAAAAAAGGCCTTTAAACAAAATGTTGTATTGCCCTTTAGGTGCCAAAACCATTTTGTTCTCCCTCTTTGGGCTGATATTTCTCCGTTTTAAATGCTTTTAATACATATTTTTGTATTCATTAAACAGTTTTTTTCTTTTATAACGGTTAAAAAAAAAATTAAAAAACTTTTTTTTTTAAGTCGACCGTATATTTCAAGATTTTGGGGGCGGTCGCAAAAGGCAATACAACATCTTTTTTTAAACGCCTTATGGGGATCTATGCTCAACTTCAAAATGTGGACGTGGGACTGATCTTAGAAAAAAGAGTATTAATAATGATAATAACAATGATAATAATGATGTCTTGTTTACATAGGGCAGCCTCATTAGTATTAATACTGTGGTCCCTGAGGGGCCTTGCAATCATAATTATTACCCCGGGTTTAGCCGAACTACCATGAAAAGGCGCTCAAGCATTCAAATAATTTCTTCTTTCCGTTCATTGGGATTAAATTTTTATGGTGTACACGTTGATGGCCGCTGGAGTATTGCTAATCAAAATACAGTCAAACCTAGCGATTCAAGGGAAACACAAAAAGTGGTCTTTGTAGACAGGTTCCTTCAGTGGCGGATCCAGGGGGGGGGCCTGGGGGAAAAACGTGTTAAAATACGTTAATTCTACCTCTTTTTTTGGAGATGGGCCTCCTCCCCTGGCGCTCAAGAGGGGGGGGGGGTGCGATTTTTCAAATTTTTGAGGACCAACAAAAAATTAGTGCTCACTATTGCAGGTTTCAATGCATAAGCGTATCAAGTTTTAAAACCCTGATACACAAACAGCGGGGATTCTGATTCTTGTTGACTACCACAATGTTGGAGGTCCTCTAATCAATCACAAAACTAACAAACGCCTCTTTCTTGATATTTGTCATGTTTGGAGGTTCTTGAATTAAGATTGATATCAACTTATCGGATCGATTTGACAGGGCCCTGGGGGAGAAAATCACACATTGGACCCGATAATATAAAGCAAATATCTCACGCTTGTGAAGCATGAATAACCTGGTCATTCTGTTCACATCGAAGTTGTGACTTGTATATGATTTGTCTCCATATAATACCAACTAAAAAGGATTCCTCTATGGCCACCATTTCTTTCTCGCTCTCCCCCCCCCCCCCCTCTCTCTCTCTCTCTCTCTCTCTCTCTCTCTCTCCCTCCCTCTACCCCTCTCTCTGTCTTCTTCTTCTCTTTCTGCTGTTTCCCCTTTTTCTGTTCGTCACTCTCTCATTCTTATTTTTGTTTATCTATCATCCATTCATCCTCATATTGTCATCCTGCTACCGTTTCTAAAATGTTTTTGTCTCGTTAATTGTTTGTTTTTAGTGTCTGCCATTTTTTTTTTGATTCCGTAATTGTTTTCAAAATTAAGTTAAAATTATGTATAAAGTTTATTATTGAGCGAACCTACACCTAACAAACATTGCTTTCAAGTAGGTTCGTTTTTTTTTTCATTTCCTGAATCAAATAATTTTGCAATACAATGACTAAAAAATAATGTAAAATATATTTCAATGCTCATTTCTGTTATTATATTACATTTATTATCGTCTGAAATGAAAAATAAATTCGCTTTGTATAAAGCGTCTACTGCTACCCTATTCATTCCATTTTATATCATTTTCTTTTCTCCATGAGATACATTTGTTGTTCCTGTTGTTTTTATTTCCGAAATCATATAAAAAATATTAACCAAAAAGAAAATTATAGGCCTACAAAATGAAAAATTAATACATGTACATAGATAACACTCGGAGGAAAGCCCAATTCAGCAATGTTTCCTTGGGGCCCCTTATAGTGTCCTTATACGTGCAGCTACACGTGCCAATGAAGCAAACGCAAGGGGGTTCCCCGCACAATTACAGTGGTACTTTGTGACGCAATATGATCAGGGACGTCACAACACCATTTTGAATGGTCGGAGCGTGGAGGAGGGGGGGGGGGGGGGGGTGGTGTCGGTTGTCAAACCAAACCTGTAGGGATTCGTTGGAATAAACTTGAAAAAAGTCATTAATTTTTTGCGAATCGAGGGCTAGACTCTAAACAGAATTATATTTTAAAGAGGGTATCACACTACCATTACACCCTCCTCAGCTCCGGTCCCCGCCAGGCGAAGCCACTGATAATAATTTATTGTATTTGTGTAGCAATGTAAAGACCGATTGTCCTTTGAAGGTTGAACATTACCCCCTCTTTGAGGAGTTAATCGTTTCGTACCAAACACGTAGGCCTATTGCCTCAATCAGTGACGTAGCTATACACAGGGGAATGGCCCGACATATCCCCCTGGGGGGGGGGGGGGGGGGAGAGGGGATGGAGAGGAGTTAGAAAACATGAAAAGAATATGATACGATCCCTCTCACCAAACCTTCCCTAACCATCATCCTTGTTAATTTGACATTTTCATTTACGGAGGTAGCCCCCCAACCCCCCCCCCCCCCCCTCCCTTCATGCTGCCGGTGCCCCCTCAGTGTCTGGACCCTCCCTGAGCCACTGATTCTCACCTCAGCTACATTCAGAAGCACGAGCATATCAGTTAACGACGAACTTTGGGCGCTTGTCTATTCGCCCATAACAACAAAATAAACAAAAGGAAACAAACATTGAGACCGAGGATTCACTAAAACGATTGTCACTTTGAGTGAGACACATTCTGACTCACTCTACCCTGTCAGTCACTCTGTTGTTTGGTCTCATCCAGCGATTACGTCCAAGACCGAGACGCTAGTAGTATACGATTGACAACAAACCAAAAGAATGGTGGACGATTTCAGTTCTCTACTGACAATCGAGGTGATAGATCATGGCGAACCGGATAGACGACGTGACGGGCCACGTTGCTCTGTCTGTCTGCAGTCATCTTCGGCTGTAACACATACACTACCTCGATGTCGGCACGGTGTCTGCCACAGCTGCCTCGACTTGGTGAAAAGCAGTGATACTTCTGTGTTTTGCGTCACCTGTCAGATTCGAAGCGTGTCCCCCAACCCTGATCAAGGCGAGACATCCAGTGAGTCATGGCTGTCGTCCCCGACGACGGGCGCATCATCATCGGCGTCGTCATCGATTTCGAGCGAGAAGCACGACATCATCAAGACCCAGCTGATGAAGCTTTATCATCTCGACGACGCTGTCTACAAGCCGCTCTCAAAGCACTTCGAGAGAGTCCTCCTCATGCTCAAGAAAGGTCTTGAAAAGAAAGTTCAGCTGATCGAGACACATTTCGAAGAAATCGTCGACGCATTGGACAAGAGAAAAAAGAAAATCATCAGGTCCTTGAAGCAAAACACGAAGGCCAACAAGGCTTTGATAGAGATTAAGAAGAAGGCGATGGAGAAAGAAAGGGCACAACTGAAAGAGTGTAGGAGGCGTCACCAGGACAAAGTTCGTGACAGGGGGAATGGAAGGACTTCTGATATTATGATCAACTCGTTTTTGGCCGAGGTCGATGACATCCAGCGGAAGGCGAGAAAAATGAGCACCGAGAATGCAACCACGGAGTTGGATGAGCTTGAGGTTGTCACCGATTCCGAAGTCGAGGGTTCCATCAAGGACGCTGTGGAGAAACTTGCGACACTTCGTGAGACAGCTCAGCTTCTCAAGTCCCGGGTAGGAACACCAACATCCTCTCCATCCTGGTCGCTTGATGACTCCACACCGTCGTCTTCCAGCCCGCCACAAAGGGGAAGACCGATGTCTCTCCGCGTTCCAGTGCAGCCTCATAGAACACAAAGCCTCTCACCAAATCCTCATCGCTCCTCCAGGTTACCGGTGACTCCTCGGGAAGTTCGCTCGGCAGCAGATGGCGACGAGATCCAGAACCTTCACACAGGTCGCTTTCTTCCAAACATCCCACCACCACCACCAACTGCAGCATCAGCTAGTCAACGACCGCAAAGTGGTCAGCGGCGTCAACCAGGCCCGCCCGACGAAAATGATTCTTCGACAGAGCAGACTGTTGGTGATCATCCAGGCTGTCGCCAGGTCAAGTCGTCTGACAAACTTCTACTTAAAAAGCGAGATCGTACGACCAAGAGGAGCTTACCAAATATTTCACTTAACCCGCAAGGCAAAGTAGTACCTCATCCCAATAGAGTCAAGTACCAAACACTGATGCAGGATGATGCGAAAGTTGAGCGACCTTCCGGAGTCTGCTGCCTTGGTAACGGTGTGGATGACAAAGGCGTGGTCGCCGTAGCGGACTGCGGTCGTGGTAGGATCGTGCAGGTTGGTCTGGACGGAGTTGTGGCCGGTGTGACAACGGTGTGGGAAGATGACGGAGACTCGGTGAAGGCCCAAGGAGTATTCGATGTCGCACAGATAGACGGAGGATGCATCATCGTATCGGATTCGCAACAGAAGCAGGTATACCATAGCGTTTTCATGTTTTCCTTTCAAGTCCATCTTTATTAGCTTCTCCAATGTTTACCAGTTATGCCTTAAGCCCGGCGTACACTTAAACGATTTGTCAACGATCCGATTTAATTAGAACAAAAATTGTGATATAGCATTTTGTTTGTAGGAACATTCAAAGATGTAAAATATTAATGACCGAGGATTTAAACAGTCCTATTTTGATCAATACAATATTAAGTTCGAGGGAATGTATGCTGTCTTGGAGGGGGACACCTGACTCGGCAATTTAAAATGGCAAAATTAATAAGTATTAAGTTTCATCAAAAGCAATTGACCTATAGTTCTTACGGAAACGATCTCCGAGGTTTCAGCAAAAAGTATATTTTAATTCGAATGGATTAGGGATTTGAGGTAAAATCGATACTCTCTCGTCATATTTTCATTTCTATGTGGTACATTACTGTGTTAATAATCCTGATATATTATGTTTGTGTCGTTCAGGTAATCCTGTTTGACGAGGGCAGGCGAGCACATACCTTGGAACTTCCGGTCCATACTGACCCCCGTGGTGTGACGTCACAGGGTCACCGTGTCTTCATCTGCGACCAAGGCAACCATTGTGTGCAGATGTTGGATCTTCATGACAAGAATGACTACAGCAAACCCAAAGCCAAAGCGATCACTCTCAGCAACGCAAACGAACACCTTATGGTCTGTCCATATTACGCGTCAGTTGATCAATCTGGGGACCGGATACTGGTCAGCGACTATGGCGCTGGCGCGCTTATTCTCGCGCGCGTTGATAACGCGCATCCGCCGCTCCGCGTCAAACTCGTAGCGTCGTCTGCTACGTCACAACATGGCCGACCGTGTACAGCGACAAGCATCGAGATCAGGCCGACGGGCGTCGCCTGGCTGCCGAATGGACGCGGTGCCGTGGTCGCTGACCAGATCGGGCATCGGCTCGTGGTCGTCGATGAGGAGCTGAATGTTGTGGGTAGTTTTGGGAGACAAGGGAGTGGAGATGGGGAGTTTCTCTTTCCACACGGAATCACATTCGTTTCTGACAGCCTTCTCAGCGTGTGTGACATGAATAATGCACGAATACAGTTTGTCAAATTGGAGTTATTACTTGCAAGTATCAACTAAAGTTTGTTTTTAAAGCCCCTCTGCAATAGTTTGGCCAGGGGGGATTAGACCTCCCTGCATGGCCACTGACAGGTGGTTATCTCATCAAGTCAGCTCTCAATTAACATAAGAAAAAGGGGACCATGAGGGACCAATGATCACCGATTTGGCATTGTTTGCTATATAGAGGGCGCTAGTAGCTATAAGTAATGCAGTAGGGCTTTAATATTTACTGAAAATATGATATCCCCACCCCCCCCCCCCGGAAAGAAAATAGTAATAAACAACAGTTATACGTGAATGCAAATCTGAAGAATTTAATAAGATAAGACTTGATAATACTTGATAATAATGTGATTAGGCTTCTAGGTTGGAAACTCCATCATTTTACAGTGTAATGCCTGCTGAAGTTTATGGGGGAAGTTTCGGTTTTTATCTATTAACCAGATTGTTTATTTTCACAGTCACAGGGACTGATTGATGTACACATCCAGTTATGATGTAGATATGATCTGAAATTAATTGGATTACAATATTGATGATCTCTACCACGTCTAATTACGATGAAGAGTCCCCATTTCTCTTATTGTATATAAAACGTTATAAACATGTTTATGCAACTCAATATAACCCTTATTTTTTACTTTTACAAAGTCATAATTAACTATTTCCCCGTAAATGTTAGGACATAAATACAGAACCAAAGTAAAAAACAATGAGGATACAATTCCACTGTACCATTTGAACAGTTGTGACATTTTTTTTGATGGAATACTGAGGTCTTTTATATTCATGTATTTAGGTTATCCTTCCCTATATAACGATATAATCATGTACATTGCTATAAATACATGTTAAGAATAATATGAATATACACAAAATTAATTGTTATAATATTTTCGTCTCTAAAAAGGGTATTTCGAATTTCATTAAGTTTGCCAAAAAATACTCTCTTTCGAAATGATGTAAATATTGTACAAACATCGTATGCACAAAATTAGTGTTCAATATAACAACACCTACAAATTATAGCCCGAGTGTTGTCATATTTCTTAGAGGCCACATAATACGATTGTGACGTCAGCTAGTACTTCAAATCCGTTGTATATCCTGTCTAGCTGTCAAATACGAATATGATGAGTAAGGCACGATTGTTTTTTGTCTGTTCATCTTGGGTGATATATCACAATGTGTTGAAAGAGAAACTAAAAGTTGATAATGACGTGGCGTTTCTCTCCCGATTCAATGACTGCCTTATGAGGAATCGAGCCTCTATGCAATATGACCGTGCCTGCAGTTAAATAGATTTCATATTAAATTACTTTGCATCTAATCGTAATAGTTTGCTTGTGATGTTTGTTTAGGTTGTCTACCCATCTATTGTGTAATACGACCCAACATTTCAAAGTACAAAGTTTCCTCTCGAACGCTTTTCCCGCCTTTTCTATCCTTTCTCTCTCTCTCTCTCTCTCTTTCTCTTTCCTCTCTCTCTCAAACACACGTACACACGCACACACACACAAACACAATCTGTATGTGTGTGTCTCCTTCTCTCTTTCTAGCTGACTCTATCTCCCTCTCCCTCTCTCTCTCTCTCTCTCTCTCTCACCCCTCTCTCCCCCCTCTCTCTCTCTCTCTCTCTCTCTCTCTCTCTCTCTGTCTCTTCTCTGACTCTCTGTCTCTCCCTCTCTTCTTTCCCTTTCTTTTCTCCCCTCTCCCTTTTGGGGAAAATATTAATAAAAAGATAGATAGATTGACAAATATTCTTCTGCACGGACTTGTAGAAGGACAGCCATTGGTTGAAGCAAGACAGTGTCTCCGTGTTGAAATGAAATACAAAGATATAAAATTACGATAGATACATTAATAACGCAGTTATCTAATGTACAGTACATACATTAATAATTAGACAAAGAGATAGAATTATGTATAAATGGATAGAAGATAATAAATAGATGGATAAATAAATGGATAGATAGATAATTAAAGAGGAAAGATATTTGCCTATTAATATGAAGAAGGCAATAATTATTCACGATATGGGTATTCTGTCACGTTCTGAGATCATGACGTAACAATGGGTATGGGAGGGTGCACATTTGTTATCAAGTTAACAGAGTAATAAGATACCATTTTAGGTATCAAACAAGTATCAAACAGGTTTGTGCCATCAAAATGCGATAATTCTGCTTTGAAGCAAAAATCCGGTTTGGGTGGAATTCTAGACACAAGACCCTAGATTATTTTAACCTGTTATGATAAGGAAATAATTTTATCTCTTTCTCTCTCCCCGTCTCTCTCTCTCTCTCTCTCTTCTCTCGTATCTCTCTCTCTCTCTCTCTCTCTCTCTCTCTTCTCTCGTACCTCTCTCTCTCTCTCTCTGCTTACCACTCGTTTTCATATTCTACATAAATTAACTTGAAAAATCTTAGTAACAAATACTATACAATAGTAAATGTTCTTGTTATTCAACACGAGAGGTAAATAAATCGTCCCTATTTTCACGAAGTGACGGTAGTGAGGAAAATCGTAACGCAAAGTGAATGCAATTTTTTTTCACTACCGTCACTTCGTGAAAACAGCGACGAAATGTGAAATAAAACCTAAAAGGAGAGAAAGAGAGAAACAGACAGAATGACACACAGGGAGAGATACAGACAGAGTGTGTTTAAGAGAGAGAGGGAGAGAGAGAGGGGGAGAGGGGGAGGGAGGGGAGGAAGAAGGAGAGGGCAAATGGTGGGGGCTCAATCCGAGGTACGTGTTGATGTACTGTTATCTTCTTACTGGATTTTTTAAATCTCATGAACATGATAACAGTGTTATCACATTTTGATAGAACAAAGTTGTTGTGACCTAATTCACAAGTTCATTTAAAGGTCTGTCGTATCGTTCACCCTCCTTCCCACTTGACACGGGTTCAAACTTATCGGTTATGTAATGATCAAAGAATGTCCGAAAAGCCCTGTTGGTCCCTCTCTCTCTCTCTCTCTCTCTCTCTCTCTCTCTCTCTCTCTCTCTAGGACTTATGTTCTAATATGTTCTTGTCCTTTGGTATAGTCACGCCCCTGCAAGATCGCTATAGTTTGCTTTTCGTATTTGACAATGCATTCCGCTATCGATAAGTGCATTATATCGCCACGGATATCACATCTATTTGCTCGCCAAGGTTTACAAATTGTCGAAAAAAATAGGGAACAGAGTTCAATGAAACCTTATCTCGCGTCATCATTATTTCCACTGATTATTTATTGGAAAAAGAAAAATCCCCTTTTGCCGATTGCTGATGTAATCACGCAGGAATGCCATCGCAGCAATAAAGATAAAGCAAAGATAACAGGTGTATATTTTTAATTGTTGTATTTTTGATAACTTGTGCAATGTGTTGATGGTTTTTAGTTACAGAATCTAAGTCCTATTTATTAGATTGCTATTTTTGTTTACATGTAGTGTTATCTGTTGCGCCTAACATGTAAACAACATGAATATTCCAGCCATGGCTGTCTCTCATGTAGAATTGTATTTGTATGAACTATGTGTGTGCTATGATAAAACCATTTTTGAATTCAATGATGTCAAATAGCGCACCATTATGTACAGTGGATATAGGTGTGACCAAATTGTCTCTCTCTCTCTCTCTCTCCCTCTCTTTCTCTCTCATACTTTATCTCACATTCTATGACTATTTTAGTAACTTGTTAAAGGCTTGTATATAAAGGTTCATTCCCCTCTCTTCGATTTTTCTTAAAGAATCCAACTCGAATGCACTTCGAATGCCGTCGGAATCTTTGGATTGCCGCTCGAATGCGGCTCAAATGCAGTTGGAACGTCCCGACCAGAATGCAAGTTGTAATGCATCACGATTGCCGCCGGAATTTATTTCTATATTTTTGGTACTAAAAGAATCCAACTCGAATCCACTTCGAATGCTGTCGGAATCTTTAGTTTGCTGCTCGAATGCGACTCAAATGCAGTTTGAACGTCCCGACCAGGATGTAAGAATCAATGCATCCCGATTGCCGCCGGAAAAAGGTATACAAATATGCATATAGAATCTAAGGCAATGTTTCCGAGTCACTTTGACCCTACAAAATGCTCGTTCGGATTTTCGTCACTGTTTTCACGAAGTGACGGTAGTGAAAAAAAATTGCATTCACTTTGCGTTACGATTTTCCTCACTACCGTCACTTCGTGAAAACAAGGACGTTTTTTGTTGTTTGGTGTGTACTGCAAGGTTCCGGTGACATCCAAATGATAAGAAATTTGGCCCAGTCTTAAGTAACAAGCACTGTAGACAGAAAGATGTATAAAAATATAAAATGTAAATCTACACAAACATGTGATATTCTGTTATTTGTCATATTTAGAATATGAAGGCATTTGAAGAGCCATCATTAATTAAGAGGACATTTTTTCTCTGATGTTCTTCCTCACTTGCATAATAACAATGATAACGCTCACAAATTCTTTCATCTCTGCCCCAGAAGTCAACCTTCTCTTAAGCACGGCTGCTTTTACCTCCAATCTAGCATGTAAATTTTTTAGTATGCGGCTCGTATGCACTTCGAATGCCGTCGGAATCATAAGATTGCCGCTCGAATGCGGCTCGAATAAACCTCGATTGCCGCCGGAATCTATTTCGATATTTATGGTACTTAAAGAATCTAACTCGAATGCACTTCGAAAACCCTCGGAATCTTTAGATTGCCTCTCGAATGCGACTCGAATAAATCTCGATTGCCGCTGGGATCTATTTCGATATTTTTGGTACTTAATATATAACTGAAGATATGGCATCTTTATATTCAATACTGAACGAACGCCATGAAACTACTACCAACAACAACAACAACAACACCATCTTCCTTTTCTGCCTCTTCCTATTTCTCCAATCTCCAACCCTCCCTATATATTCTGTACACTTTTTGTTTTCTCTCTCTCTCTCTCTCTCTCTCTCTCTCTTTCCCTCATATTTATGTTCGTGCATCAATTCTTGCTGTCCTCTGCTTTTTCTCTTTGCCTCCACCCCTCTCCTGCTTCTGTAAATAGGTATTCTCTCTCTCTCTCTCTCTCTCTGTCTCCCTCCCCCTCTCTCTCTCTTTCCTCCTCCTCCCTACACCTCTCTCTCTCTCTCTGTCTCCCTTCCTACCTCTCTCTCTGTGTCTGTCTCCCTCCCTACCCCCCCCCCCTCTCTCTCTCTCTTCTCTCTCTCTCTCTCTCTCTCTCTCTCTCCGCTCTCTCCTCTCTCTCTCTCTCTCTCTCTCTCTGTTCAACCCTTACGTACATCATTGCATACTCACATGCATACATGGTGGATGCGCGTTTGCGTGCGTGCGTGTGTGTGTGTGTGTGTGTGTTTATTTCTATTAAAGATTGATTTTTATTGTTTGGAATCAATAAACAAAACTATTGGAGAACAAAAGTGTGTGTGCGCGCGCGTGTGTGTGTGTGTGCTCTCACCTCAGCATTTTTGTGGGGTTTTATGTGCGCTTCACATACCCCTTGTGAGGCATTTTTACTTTGTGGGGTATTTTTTCAGGACCCCACAGAGTAAAGTCTTTCAAATGACTGTATATTCGGTGTCCTATGCCCTGCGGGGCATTAGAAGTGGTACCCCATAAATGACATTTTGTGAGCGTGTGCTAAAACTTGCACACTTTTTTATGGTAACATCGTAAGCACACCGCCGGGTTGTTATCGCCAGGTTGTACCCCACTAGTAGGGGACCACAAGGTATATCTGGAACGCACAGAAATACCCCACAATCAGGTGCCCCACAAAGGCCCTGATGTGAGAATGTGTGTGTGTGTGTGTGTGTGTGTGTGGTTGTGTACGGGTGTATGTTATAACACACCCGCCCCCGCACACGACCCCACCCTCATATGTAGGCGTATACCCACACGAATCAATTTCATATCCTCCCGAGAAGAGCATGAAGAATGTTAAACTTATAATACATATTAACGTGACATGTAAGAAAGAAATACAAATGAGCCACTTGAGGCTTTTTGTTTTTGTTTTGCAAATATTTATTATCATGATCATATACATATCAATCACCTCTATTTAATTTCAACCTATTGAAAGATGTGATATATCCTTATAAGAACAAAAAATGTTTAATGAATATGTAATGATGATTTTCGAATCATCAAAGATTTTACCTGGAATACTAATTTTTTCAAATGAGATTTAGTCATTGCAGTGTGAAGCAAATACACTACAATACACAATTGATAATGAATATTGACCAATTGTCGACTTGAGAAATTCGAAGGTCAATGGTTTAAATAATATCCTGTAAGTACACAGTTCTTTATTTCTGAAGCAAAGTAAAAACATGTAGTCGCTTACTTTATCAACAGATCAAAGAATTATGAACTAAAAACCGAGTGATGTAAATGTGCACTTGATTATCATGTATTCCGTTTTTTTTTTTTTACCCAATCTCGTCTCTTATCATTTTGATAATCGTATAGAAGAAAAAGAACTACATAGAAGCCCTGTATCATCATAAAGGAAACTCGTTGTTAAGATTGGTTGCCATTCGTTGTCGTAAATGGTAAAAGTCTAAAGTCGATGTCATTTGATGAGCAGCAGTCTTCTATTCCAGCGTGGATTCTCATTCCTCTATATTTGGTTTGGGTTCGGAGGAGAAGGCCCGCTCTAAAAAGACAAAAGGCAAGATAATAGTTAAATTAATTTTGTTTGCATAGTTGCAAGTCTCTTTAAACGACTCATCTAGCTTCAGAAAGAATTTAAATACATTTCACATGTTGCTATTTCGTCTATCTGACTCTTAACATGATATTACATCTTTATAATCTGTGCATTTAAACTTAGTGATACTGTCTTTGACATGGCAACTGGAATATGTTCAATTGTTTGATGGATTGGTTTATGACTAATTGTCAAAATACATCAGACGGCAGTATAAAGGCAATCTATATTGAAGCAGACTTTCTTTAACAGTCGATACATTTCGTTTAACCCTCATAAAAGTATTGAATTATTATTTAATACGTTTATTTGAGAAACTTCAAATGTTAAACAATCATTTCCACAGTAATGTTTGTGAATGCATACTTTTAATGAGAAAAAATATTATATGTTCAGTTAAAAACTTCATCACTCATACCTTTACCAAATTTTAAGATTTGTGAAGTATGTAAAAGTTGATTTGTCGCAATTTACGTCTTTTGAGAAAGTGACATAATTATTAACGCTCACATTAAGGCTTTGAGGATTCCATTTTTTACTCAGATTTTGCTCTCTTCCAAAGCAATTTCATGTTCTGAAGAGACTATCCTGTATGTCTATCAAAACACATAATTTATTTCATAGCACTATCTGTTAAAAATGTAAATTATTTCACTTGTCAGAACTTTGACGATTAAACCTTAAACCAACAATGTACCACCTAGAATGTATTCCTAAAAATCAATAATGTCAGTCTTACCTGACACACGTCCTGGTAATCCCGGCAGCAATCACCAAAGCTCATGCAAGCAGCATCACAGAAGCAGGCTCCAGTGGGGTTCATGCCACCGCATGCACCCTCACATGAATCTCCTGCAGAATCGACAACAACATTATTTCAATGATTATAATATTCGAGGTTTATTTACTAATTTATTCACGCGTTTAATACAATGTTTCTAAGCTCGCAACGAAAATGTAATTATTCTGGCTACTAGATTCAGGCTTTCCGAGAATCAAGCAATGTATGCACATGCTTTACTGCCCAGGGAGCACTCAAGCCCGGCACAATTATTTTACCATCGGTCACAATGCTGAGCATATGCTACAATGTCTTTCGCATCCCAGCGAGCGGGGACCAATTTATCACCTGGGTGAAGAGAAACAATATATACGAAATCCTTTGCTGAATGATATAAGTCCGTGTCGGGGATCAAACACACGACTATCGCATCTCCAGTTAAATTTAAACTATTAGACTACGATGTGAGGTGCGTGTGCGTGTGTGGAGGGGTGATATCATTCACATAATTTGTATCCCCTCCAAAATCGTTCCCCTTTTCAGGTTTTGCAGAAAAAAGGTGTGATTATCTTCGACACTCCTACTTTCATAGGGTATAACCTTGCTGCATAACCAAATATATAAAAGAGGTGGATAATCTACTAACCTGTTGGAGGGGGTCCACTGGGAGGCGGCAGAGGGGCAGAGCTGTTACTTGGCGGTGGAGAAGGAGGGGCAGAACCGTTGTTTGGTGGAGGAGGGGGAGGGGCCGAACCGTTGTTTGGTGGAGGAGGAGGAGGGAAAGAACCGTTGTTTGGTGGAGGAGGAGGAGGGGAAGAACCGTTGTTTGATGGAGGAGGAGGAGGGGAAGAACCGTTGTTTGGTGGAGGAGGAGGAGGGGAAGAACCGTTGTTTGATGGAGGAGGAGGAGGGGAAGAACCGTTGTTTGGTGGAGGAGGGGGAGGGGCCGAACCGTTGTTTGGTGGAGGAGGAGGAGGGGAAGAACCGTTGTTTGGTGGAGGAGGAGGAGGGGAAGAACCGTTGTTTGATGGAGGAGGAGGAGGGGAAGAACCGTTGTTTGGTGGAGGAGGAGGAGGGGAAGAACCGTTGTTTGGTGGAGGAGGAGGAGGAGGGGAAGAACCGTTGTTTGGTGGTGGAGGAGGAGGGGAAGAACCGTTGTTTGGTGGCGGAGGAGGAGGGGCAGAACCGTTGTTTGGTGGCGGAGGAGGAGGGGAAGAACCGTTGTTTGGGTGTGAATGGTTACCGGATCCATTACCTGGGGGTGGGGTTGAAAAGTTAGAGGAAAACAGCCCGCGCTTAACGATTCGGCCGGCACGTGAGTGGTTGCCAGTGCCATTTCCAGGTCTTGGTGGAGGTGGGCCGGTGCCGTTGGTTGGGAGTGAGTGGTTACCGGTTCCATTACCGGATCTTGGTGGAGGTGGGCCGGTGCCGTTGCTTGGGAGTGAGTGGTTACCGGTTCCATTACCAGGTCTTGGTGGAGGTGGGCCGGTGCCGTTGCTTGGGAGTGAGTGGTTACCGGTTCCATTACCGGGTCTTGGTGGAGGTGGGCCGGTGCCGTTACTTGGGAGTGAGTGGTTACCGGTGCCATTACCGGGTCTTGATGGAGGAGGGCCGGTGCCGTTGCTTGGGTGTGAGTGGTTACCGGGTCTGTTACCGCGCTTAACAATTCGGCCAGCACGTGAGTGGTTACCGGTTCCATTACCGGGTCTTGGTGGAGGTGGGCCGGTGCCGTTACTTGGGAGTGAGTGGTTACCGGTGCCATTACCGGGTCTTGGTGGAGGAGGGCCGGTGCCGTTACTTGGGAGTGAGTGGTTACCGGTGCCATTACCAGGTCTTGGTGGAGGTGGGCCGGTGCCATTACCTGGTCGCGGTCGAGGTTGGTCTGTACCGTTTCCTGGTCTTGGTCTTGGTCTTGGTCTCTGTGGCCGATTGCCGTTTGCTATACGAATTTAACAGAAAAAATATGGACCATCTAAAAACAAATTTAAATACAGTCCTTTGTGAAATGTAGTAAACGTTCACGTATCTAACTCGTCTCCTACAGACCTAAACTGTATACACTGAATGACCGCACAATAATCAGTGCCAGTGATATCTTTTGAAAAATGCAATTTCAAATAAAGCGCTTACAAAGTATCCAAAGTTCCCCATACTGATGATTCAAATGTTTTCATACTTACGAGCCTGTGCGGCACAAACAGCAGCAAGGACCAGGATGACCAAGAGTCCGCTGAGAATGATTCGACCTGCCATGATGAGATTGATGATATCAGCTTGGAGTGGTCTTTGGTTGCTTGTGATCAGTATCTGGAAGAACACTGACTATGGCTTTCATGATGCCATCAGCCCTCTATTTATACATTTTCTACATTTAAATTCTCATACGGTAGGTCTTGATTTCAAGGCGCAGTGTTTATTAAACCACAGGTGTTCATAATTATGTACTTCTTTTTAGATCATGACATATTTACGCTACCGTCCCTTCTAACTTTGGCTCGGTAATCGAGGCTTCTGCTCTTTGTCCATCTGTCCGTGTCCAGTTTGACTGTATGGCCTGATGGATTTTATTTCATTTATATTGGAGTGGTTTGTTTATTTATGAGCGAGCGTATATGCATTAGTTTCATTTTTAGATTAAACAATAAACTTTTGAGAGGTCTTGAGTTGCAATGGCGCTGCGTGGGCGTTGTAAGCCAAGAAATGGGGGAGGGGTGCTGGCACCAGCGGATGGCACCGATCTTATTTGGCGGATGAAATGGCTACCAATTGAGTAAAAGGTGATGCTTGAAGTCCCAATCTCTCCCCCACCGTCTTTCTGTTTTTTATCTACTGAATTTCGATCAGGGGGCACGCCCTCTTTATTTTGTTTAATTATTTTTCTCTCTGATGATATAACGTTTCCTCACACCTCAAGTGATAAATATGTCCATATCCAATGCGAGACATTCGTGAAATTATTTACATTGATTTCGATTAGATAATAAGTATCCTCATTAATAGAAATATGGATAGAAGGGGTATATATCCCCCCCCCCCCCCCACTCCGAGAACGGACGGACCCCATGCGTGTTACCAAAATGTCCCGTAAAGGGGTACTTTTCGTGCGACAAAGTCCGGCCCGAAAATTGTAAAAAAAAAAGGGGTGTATTAACTTTTCACCCGGAGATTTCTTTAAAAAGGGGGTCTTTTTTTCTTTTTTCTCTCATCTCTTTGGACTCCTGAGAAATTATTCTGAATTCAGGGGGGTACATTGAGCATTTTTCATGATTTAGGGGGGTCTCCAATGCAGGAAAAGCCCGCGAAAAGCCGAAAGGAGGGTTCGGAAATGTTGGCAACCCTCAGATAGGGGGTGCTTTCAAAAAGAGGGAACAAGCTGGCATATGCGTACCCAAAATAACACTGAGTGGGGCGGGGGGGGGGGGATATATTCGCACTTGAAAGGTAATGCTTTTAATAGGACTTTTCAGGCTTGTGCGCATTAATCACTGCAGGTATCATGTATATCAAATACGGCGACCATCCCCTTCATGTACAGGCCCTTGTACAAACAATCACGTGCCCACAAGCACGTGTCACTGACAATTTAGTGTGTGTAACCATTTAGTTTGAAAGATAATCTTTCGCGGATCTACATATAACATCGCCTTGAAACTATCTGGTTAAAAAGCTTAAAGCTGAAGTTCAATTCTGGTATTGCGATTGCATTGTGAAAGAAACGGTGTGAAATCGATCAGAAAAGGTAAACCATCTATCATACAAGTATTGGTGTGTACTGCAAGGTTCTAGAATCATCAAAATCATAAGAAATTTGCCTAGTCTTGGTAAAGTTACAAGCACTGTAAACAGAAATATGTATGGGACTACAAGAACATGTGTCATAAAAATCCGTCCCGAATTTTATGCTGATATCATTTAGAATATTAAGGCACTTTGAAGAGCCATGCATTCAGGGAACATTTTTAATCTGATGTTCTTCCACACTAGCATAATAACAATGATAACACAAATTAGTTTTCACCTTTTCCCAGAACTCAACCTTCTCTTTAAGTTAACAGCAAGTCGCTCCAGTCGCACGATATGTTTATTGTCCCAAAGTAGATTCAACTTTAATTTCACTTATTCTCTCTTTCTCCACGTCTTTCATGTATATCCCTTTTTTAATTTTAATAATAATAATAATGGTGGCTTCTTTTATACCGCACATGTCCGTCACGTTGCGGCGCTCTAGCATTTCAAGGAATTAATTCCTGTCAGGTACCCATTTATATCACCTGGGTTGAGTGTGGCAAATGTAGATCAATGTCTTGCCGCGGCGAGACTCGAACCGTGGACCTTATATCGACAGTCCGTCGACGTATCCACTCGACCACGACACCTCTTTTATTTTCTCATCGCCTTGCGTTTGCGTCTCTCTCTCTCTCTCTCTCTCTCTCTCTCTCTCTCTCTCTCTCTTTCTTTCTCCCTACACATCTCTGTCTGTCTCCCTCCCTATCCCTCTCTCTCTCTCTCTCTCTCTCTCTCTCTGTCTCCCTCCCTCTCTGTCTCCCTCCCTACCTTTCTCTGTGTCTTCCTCCCTTCCTCTTTGTCTCCCTCCCTACCTTTCTCTCTCTCTCTCTCTCTCTCTCTCTCTCTCGCTGTGTCTCCCTCCCTACCTCTCTCTCTCTCTGTATGTCTCCCTTCCTACCTCTCTCTCTCCCTCCCTATCTTTCTGTCTCTCTCTCTCTCTCTATCTTTCTGTCTCTCTCTCTCTCTCTCTCTCTCTCTCTCTGTGTGTCTGTCTCCCTCCCTACCTCTCTCTCTCGATGTGTCTCCCTCCCTCTCTCTTTCTTCCTCCCTACACCTCTCCCTCTGTCTCCCTCCCTATCCCTCTCTCTCTCTCTGTCTCCCTCCCTCTCTGTCTCCCTGCCTATCTTTCTGTCTGTCTCTCTCTCTCTCTCTCTCTCTACCTCTCTGTGTGTCTGTCTCCCTCCCTACCTCTCTCTCTCTCTCTCTCTCTCTCTCTCTCTCTCTCGCTGTGTCTCCCTCCCTTTCTCTCTCTCTTTCTTCCTCCCTACACCTCTTTGTCTGTCTCCCTCCCTACCTCTCTCTCTCTGTATGTCTCCCTTCCTACCTCTCTCTCTCCCTCCCTATCTTTCTGTCTCTCTCTCTCTCTCTACCTCTGTGTGTGTCTGTCTCCCTCCCTACCTCTCTCTCTCTCTCTCGCTGTGTCTCCCTCCCTCTCTCTCTCTTTCTTCCTCCCTTCACCTCTCTGTCTGTCTCCCTCCCTACCTCTCTTTCTGTCTCCCTTCCTACCTCTGTGTCTCCCTTCCTACCTCTCTCTGTGTATGTCTGTCTCTCTCTGTGTATGTCTGTCTCTCTCTGTGTCTCCCTCCCTACCTCTCTTTCTTCCCATCTACACCTCTCTCTCTCTGTCTCTCTCTCTTTGTCTCCCTTCCTACCTCTCTCTCTCTCTCTTTGTCTCCCTCCCTACCTCTCTCTGTCTCTCTCTCTCTCTCTCACTCTGTCTCCCTTACTTCCTCTCCCTCCCCCTCTCCCTCCCTACCTCTCTTCACTCCCTCAGCCTGTCTGCACTGTCATACTTACTTCCTGTAGTACATATTAGCATTAACATACCCGTACACAAATTCCAACTAAACAGGAACATTTACACATTGAAATACAGCTTTATTCCATTATGATATACATGCTGTAATTACAATATGAATATGTACACATGAATATCATCTTTGAATGACATCTATTAATGCTTACAAATAATTTTTGCACAAAATACCGAAAATAGATGTGTACAATATTTACAAAGTATGAACATTTAGATACATATAAATATAAATTAAAAAATGAGGCACATTCTTTGACAATCAGCAGTTTAAATTGACCAAGACAAAAAATAATGGGGTCTTAACTCTAGTGTGCAGAACTTCTGAGGCTTTTCTACAATTTTACTAAGATACCTGATTTCATGTCATCAAAGAAAGCGTGAAATACAATGACAAAAATGTACAATAATTTCTTCTTTGTTTGTGCTTCAATATTTTGGTTTTCATCATACATTGCAGTGGTTGTATGTCTGTGTAATGCTAGGAGACAGCAAATTTCAATAATTCATATGGTGAAAATAAATAAATTATCAACTAGCAAAATAACAATGCTTCTCTTTAATCCCCCATCTCTCTCTCTCTCTCTCTCTCTCTCCTTCCATCTGGTTCCTCTTGTTTTAGATGAAGGCAGGGTGCTAGTGTCCATGGATAAGGCATTTATTGGTGTAGGCTCTTTCAACCTTGAGAGGAGGGAAGGGAGTTGTCCTGGGGAGCATTTCACAAAACTTGTCATCAGTGACAAATGACAGTATTTGTTATAAGCTACTGAAATCCTTGCTTCTGATTGGTTATCAGCAGATTTGTCACTGATTTTTGTCATTTGTCATTGAAAAAAAGCTTGTGAAACGGGCCCCTGGAATCACTTGATTTTTATGCAGCTACACTCTATTTTATTTCCAAATTAGTTTGTGGATATATTTTGTACATTGTACAGGTCAAGTGTGAAACCCAATTGGGATTAAGTCTTCATTCATGTTAAATAGGTAATGCGCCATTTAACCATACATAATATGCAACTTTCTGGGGGGGGGGGATGCTGTTATGACGACAGACATTATTTCTCTTGAATTATAGTACTCATAAGGCAACATTTTTTTCTAGAGTTAATAAGACATTTCCTGTTTTTCATTAAAAAAAAAAAACGATATTATAATGGTGAGCAGTATATTCATGATATGAATGGAAAAAGAAATGAATTCACTTTAAGATGGCTAATTTTAAAGCATGTATTTGAATAATGTATACAAATATTGTTTTGATAAAAGGTAAATGTGAATTTATGTATTTGTTGTAAAAAATAAAACTTGCCCATTGGGGCAAAGATATGGACTAAACAACAACATTTATTTCTCTTGTTGTTGTTTACTAGTCAGACTGTGTATCATGAGAGTCAGTTGTTGTTGTTGACTAAGCTGTTCTTTTTGTTGACTGATGAGGGCGTCCTTCTCTCTTATGGTGCTCTTCTGCTGCCGGCAATCTGTCTCAAGCTTCGAAACCTGAAACAAAAGAGTTAGGAAGGAAACATATTACATTGGAACTCCATTAAATGTTTGCATCAAAGGTTGAAACTGTTAGGGCTATGTTGCACATACATCTTCACTTCAACAATGGTGTCATTGAATCAATATCCCCATTCTTAAGAAATTTACAGTG